CGGATAACATATTTTCTCTGGAGTATGGTACAAACCCGTGTTTGAATGAAATATCTTCTAAGAGATATATGAGCAGAGGGAGGAGTACGCTTTTACAGAGTTCTGTTACTGAGGCACGACGTTTTAGTGGGGCCCCTGGAGGTTACTGCCTTCCTTCCTGCTCAATTTTCCCGCCATTTGTAACCTATTAATAGACATAACTTTTGAGAATGAAAGCATCGAAAATCTGTTTACCTTGAAGCAATTCAGTCTCTCTTCCTCGGTTACCTCTTTCCTTTTCTCAGATCTGAACCATGATTAAGACTTCTGACCATATAATTAAGCCTAAATAAATTTATGAGCACCTTTTGACTCTCATTAAACATTTGACCGGTGCAATTTTGTAGGGTTGTGCTTACTACTTCCAGTGAATGGGGGGCAACGGTGACGAAATTAAACGTGCCTGCAGATTGGAAAGGTCTCTCCGTGCTTTATCCTCACATGATCACACGCCCGAAATTAATAGCAGGAGACATATTTTGTTTTCTAATTTTGCTTTTTCTTTCCTCTTTTGTGCAGAGTGGCAAATATATGTGTTGCTCATAGGTTTGTTTTTGGCATCTGCTGCTGCATTTTACATATTCTTCGAGAATTCTGATTCATTTTGGAACTTCCCACTTGGGAAGAATCAACCAAGACCGAAGCTAGGATCGTTTATCAGAGATCAAAAGTCATCTGATGATCAAAATATGTGGAGTGCATTCGGACCATTAGATATGTGAGTTGTTCCTCGGATTCGGACACGAAAGCCGAGAGAAGTGTACGATAATTTGTTTGTCTTGACATCTCTTATACGTTCTTTCCGGGTTATTTTAAATTTTTTTTGAGATACTGCGAAATTCTATTTATCAAAGAAAGACCTCCTGGGAAAGGCCTATAAGATTTCAGAAGGTGATTTTTGGCAAGATTTTTGCCTCTTCATTATGCAAAAGTGTACTTTTTTAGAACTGATCTATTTCTTGATGTCAAGTAAGTGATTTTCTATTTTCACCTTTTGTTTGTGCGGTTAATTATAAGTTATTGTGTTCTTCTTTTGGTTATATTAAGAATATTAGGGCAGGAATTAAGATCCAAAAGTTTTTGGAAATATAAAAAATATAATAATTTTTTTTATTTTTTTTAAATAATAATTTAATTAAAATAACAAAAAAAATGAATATAATATTTAAGTATTAAATTTCAATAAATATGAAAATAAATAGGAACCAAAAATAGTATCGAATAGATATAAGTATAGCAATATGATATTAAATAATACATATTTAAAAATATATAATACCCAAAAAAATGATAATATAAAGAAAAAATAATATTAAAAAGAAAAAAACCTTTTTCGTTTACATTATTACAATTTAATAATTTTTTCAATAAAAAAACAAAAAATAAGCAGAAAATATTTTAACGGTTAGCACTTTGCATGTCCCCACTAGCAGCAGGGGAGAAGAATGGCATTTCTGAGAATCTGTCGAAAGTCGATTCCCTTTTTACTCAAGCATATTTTCTATATAAAAGGCTGGAGGAGAAGAGAAATATCAATTCAAAAAGTACGTACTCTCTTCACAGGATTCTTCTCTCTCTCTCTTTATCTTCCCTGATATTTCCTCATTTGATCAGATGAATTGTCTCCATTATCTTCCAAGGTTAGCGGGAACTCTCCTTCTTCTTCTTCTTCTTCTTCTTCTTCTTATTTACTCTTTCAATCGTGTGTAATTAATTCATTTTCTGATCTCAGATCCTCTGCTCTGCCTATGCAAAGCTTCAAATGCCACAAAAGGAAGTCTCTCATGTCTATCATAAACTGGTAACTTCTTTTGAGATCTGTGCGTACAGTTTTCTTTACCACATAAAATATTGCTGTCAGTGTGTTTCTCATTGTCTGTTAATGTAATGCAGAAGATGCTGGATCATACTGATCTAAACCGAAGTTTGATCGTGAAGGTAGCTTTACAATTTATGCTATCAACATAGGTTTTCTGGTTTTCTTTTTCTTTTTTTGGAAAGTTATAGTCAGCTTGGGTACAGACTACTATGATTTAGATATTGTCCACCTTATTATTTGTTTTTTCTTAATTTTTCTTTTTTTTTATTTCTTAGGATAATCCTGTGAACTGGAGCTGGTCCAATTAGGAAGTAGATATTCAAATGATAAGTAAATATCTCTTTATAAATATTATGGCACTTGATTATGTGAAATATTTTCTTGTTTTGTACTGCTCTACCGAGTGAGAGATATTATTATTTCCTTATGGCTAATATTTTACTTTCCCCCTGCAAATTAGTGCATTGGTTTTTTCTTTTTAATTAATTGTTTGATTAATTGAATGTTGGATTCTTTTTGGAGAATATTAATTTCATGATGGGTTGGATTTTTAAAAAGCATTCAAATTAACAGTTGTAATGATTGAAATTTGAGTTGCCTGCATATGTTTAACTTTCATGTATATTATAATCTAAGATAGTGTTGATGTAATACAAGATAAGACTACCTAACTTCTTTTTTTCAGACATTGTAACATTGAAGCATATTAAACTTAAGCCTATTTTGTAGTCTGTCCATCTTGGTTGAATTATCATTTGTCGTTTTTTTTAATTTGAGTAAATATCAATCTGAATTTTGTCCACTGAATGTGTTAAACTGTTTGTAGCTGTTCCTGTTACTTGTAACTTTAACATTTTCTTTGGGAAGCTTATTAAAAATTTTAATATGTAGGCAATTTCTGGTTCAACATCCAGTGTGGATAAGAGTGGTGATGAAAAGGAGGATGAAGAAAAATCTGAGATGTATAGTCATAACATGACAGAAGCTATGGGCGCTGGTAAATATGCTCATATGTTTTTACCTTAACGAGTTACCCTTAGGAACAGGTTTAGGCAGAACAGACATTTTCTTAGGGTCAGATGATAGGTATATAATGATAAAGGTCGTGTTCGTTATATAAATATAGTTATACAACGTATAGTAACATATTCAGGTGATCATAGAGTCTAGTCTTCACATCATAAACATGCCATAGACTGATTTTTGTGTGCGTGTGATTTATGCATATTTTCAAACTTGTTACTTCTTCTGGATGTCAATAAGATCTGCTAATGATTCATTTCAATATCTTCATTATAGTTTTGACCTATAGGCATGAATTAGGAATGAATTACAACTTCATACGTCCGGATTTGATTGTGGGGTCATGCCTACAGGTGATTCTCATTTCTGAATTACATAGCATTTTGACTTCACAGATGGTTGCTGATTTTTGCTGACCTTACCTTTCCTTTCCTCTGTTTCTTACATGATAGACTCCTGAAGATGTTGACAAGCTCCGTAAAATTGGGGTCAAAACCGTATTTTGCTTACAACAAGATCCAGATTTGGAGTATCCAGGACATTCAGTTCATTTAATTTAAGTTTATTAATTCAAGATCTTACTTACATCATTACTTTATATGGTTGTAATTATTGAATGTTAAATGTTGACAGGTTAGTTTTGAGAAAATACACATTCTGTGAATCCTTTACAAATAATTTCAGATATTTTGGTGTAGATATAAAGGCAATTCGTGAATATGCTAAGGCATGTGGTGATATTCAGCATTTGCGCGCTCAGATAAGGTTAATTAGAAAAACAAGGACTGTTTATTTTTCAGCTAAAGAAGCACGGTTTTTTTTTTTTTGCCAAGTGAAAAGTACTGGTCTTCTAAAACTAAAGAGAAGCCAACCACGGTATCCTTCAAGTAGTGATAACTTGTTCACTAATAACTAAAGTGCTATTAGTCTATCTTTAGAATAAATGGATTGCACAAAATGTGGATTTCCTTTTCAAATCCGCTCATTTTTTCTTTATCTATGCTAAAATGCGGATTTGCAAATGAATTTTAGATTTTTTTTTTTGTGAAAATCATTTGTGCCAAACATACTTTAGTATTTGATACCCTGATCAGCTGCATGAAATTCATTTCCTTATCACTATGGTAATGCCTTGTTTAGTGAGAATGAAACAGAGATTAGTGTTTGATAAACTGATCCTATGGATGAATTTTTTTTTCATGATGAACTTTGCATTATTTTCATGACCTTACAAGTTAAATAAGCTTAGATTAGTTGCTAACGTTTAGCTACTCTATTGAAGAGCATGGACATACTTTCACACACATACACACTCATCATTGCAATTTTCACTTGATATAACTGTGTAATATTTGATGGAGCAGAGACTTTGATGCATTTGATTTAAGGATGCGGCTTCCAGCTGTAGTTAGTAAACTATACAAGGCCATAAAGCGAAATGGAGGAGTGACATATATACATTGCACTGCTGGTCTTGGAAGAGCTCCTGCTGTTGCAGTATGTTAATCAAT